TGCCGTCGTCTATAATAGAGTAATGCTCGATAATGCTCTGGAAAAGCGCGTTTTTTTCCTTTTTTTTTTTTTATTTCAATCCCAGTACAGAGCCTTGTAATGCCGATGGAGTATTTTTAATTACATTACAATCTTGAACGCAATTACTGAGCTACGATATTGCATTCGTTTACGTGTACTTTAATTACACTTTTCAATGTCTATATTTGAACAGTAACAATTCTAATGATATTGTCTTGTACTATTGTCACAGACTGTGACTCACAGTGACGTTGTCTATTGTAGACGGCAATTGTAATCAACGAGCATAGAGTTATTGATTGTAGCAACGAGAATTAGGTAAATTTAATTTCATCACGTTAAACAGATTGTGCAATTAAAAAAAAAAAAAAAAAGTATACAGAATTTATTATTAAATAAATTTTACAACGAGAGAGCACATGGTGGAAAAATTACGAAAAAGCTTGATTGGTAAAAAAGCAGATTGATGCACTAAAATATATATGTACATGCAATTTGAAAAATAAAAATTTCCATAGTAGCACGTACATCCAGCAAAGAAGGAAAAAAGGCAAACAACGTCACATGATAAAATCGCTAGGCTACAACACCTTTAAACACACTGGCAGGCTGGCTTCGGTAAAATCCACCAAAGCGCGGTGCTGACCATAAACGGTAAAAGTTGTTTCACATTACTGAAAATAAAGAAAGAAAGAAGAAAAAAAAAATGTTCGCAAAACCGTTGCGATCAGTAGTTGTACTGGCGTTTTCAAAAATTCCACCACTCGTTGGTCGGCCAAAAAAGTACAAGGTCCCGAATAAGCGACTCGAACGGGGTAAAAGAGCCAGGCTCCTCTCGAGCGTGGCTGCGCGCTTTAACTGAAGGGTTGAACTTGTACGGCTGCCTCTGGATCCCAGCGCGCACCACCGGCATTCACCGCGCGTACCCCCACCCCCCATGCTCTTCATGCCCCTTGTCGCGCGCCACTTCTACTTCCACCCACAGCTTATTTTTCTTGCTTGTCCGACTCAAGCACGCCTATACCTCTATAGACAATGCCTACATTCACGCGGGCCTTTAGCGAGACGAAATCAAAAAAAGTCGCCGTGTAAAAGTTCATGCAGATTGCTCCCAAGTTTTTCCCTTTAATTCCACTTTCCCTTCGTCCACGTCGGAGCTTCTTTCCGTTGTTGAAAGGAGGAGAGGGAAATAAACAATGCCCAACACACAAACTAATGGCAAACGATAACTTTGTACTTCTTTCATTTGCCGCTCTTCTTGCCGTACCTCCTCTAATTTACTAGCCCACAAACTTTTTCTCTTCCGCCGCTCCTCTTCTCTCTCTCTCTCCCTCTCTCGGCGTTTTACTTGGGAGCAGAAAAACATAATTGGATGGAGGAAATACGTTTGCTCCGATCGCAAATTTTTCTAAAACAAGCGATCGGGTGAAGGCTGTCGTTTTGATTCATTGGCTCCCTCGACTTGTCGTGAGACGATTTTTACTTTGATCGATTAATTTGACTCGACGCTTTGGAAACAACGTTTTGTTCGGTTTAATTGGATGGAAACGCATGTCGAGAGCTTCATCAATATGCAGAAAAGCACACGCACAATATGCGTGGTTTTACTCGAGTAAAAGGTACACAAAAAAAAAAAAGTAATTTGTTTTTTTTATTTTAATTCTTTTTTTTTTATAATTGGAAATGTTAATGGGAGACGTGAAAAAGTTCCAAGTGGATTATTACGATGCAAATGATAGTGCTCTCTTTTGTTATTAGCATGAATTAAACTTACTTCATTTGCAATTGAAATTTTCTCTTTGCACGCGTCCTTTATGTACTTGGACAATCCCATGCTAAAATCTTCTATTATCAATTTTATTTATATTATTCATAATAGTAGGACTTGAATTTAAAAATAATAATCATTACAAATCAATTCTGAATTTTGTTCCCATGAAATATATTAATTTTTTTTTTCAGTGGTTGTTATATGCTCGTGAATTTAATGAAAATATTTACGCAACTATTGCACGAAGCGAGTGGTGATTGGCCAAATTGTGTATTTTTTGATTCTCAGTGTAAAAATTTTTGAAATTCGAGTGCTCTCACTTGTACACTTCTATACGGACCCGTCAAACTGTACCTCGCACACTGTGCTAAAATCCGAGAAATAGTACATTTTTTGCATGAAAAATAGTGGATCTTTAGTTCGAAAATACTAAAAAAAAAAGTATACTAATTACACAAAGACTCTCTTCGTAACAATAAAATTTGACATTGAAAGTACAGGGAGTAAAGAAGATTTTTATTGTACAGTAAAACATACATTTTTTTAACTCTTATACTTCAAAAGGGTGACGAAAATCTGAGATCATGTTTAGTCAAAAGTTGAAATAAATGTTTAAATATCAATATGTATCAATAAATTATCGTACGTGTATGGAAATGAAAAAAAAAAACTAAAACTATTAAACAGTTTGTAAAAAAGTGGGTAACGTCATAATAACGAATTACAGTACAAATTTTAAACCTCGTGTCAATTTCAACAGCCGTGCCATTCATGCGCTCATGTTTAGTTTACCTATACTTTTAACGAGCCAGTAAATAAAAATGGGAGTAATTTAGGAGTTTATGTCTGTAAATATTTGAAAAAAAGGAAAAATGTAGCTGAAAAAGTTTTTTGCTTCTCTTGGTGGCCACAGCAGAAAAAAAAGGCAGACTGGTACACGGCATAGCTTTGAAAGTATAAACACGAAAAGTTTTTTTTTTTTTTTTTGCAACTTTTCAATAAAGTTCTGTCGCGCACACGTGATTACCAAAGTTTAACCGGATGCATTTGTCCGTACACGCAGCGCACACGTCGCGTGCGAGGGCGTAATGCGGCAAGTTGGGCCGGGTTTTGCACAGCTCGCCCATATATCTATTCCACCCCTTCATCTTCCGCGCATCTTCGGAGTATTAGCTTTCGAAAACGAGCTAATGCGCTGGTAGCACGTGGCTTATCGTCTCAATCAAAATTTCGGTCGCGCCTCGGCGTAATTTATCGCCAGAACTATCGGAAACGGTCCACGATGAATTTACGTACCCCCAAAATTTAATGAAATCCCCTTCACGCGTATAACTGTATGGACGCACATACCCGCGGCCCAGTCGAGCTCCACCACTGGCTCCCTATCAATAATAATAATAATTTCGCAGTCGTTCCGGGTTAGCATTTTCTCTCGAGTATTAAATTATTATTACTTCAAATTGATAGCCCAGTAATCACGCCGACAATTACCATAAATTTCAAAGTTTGAGGACGCAGCCCCGCAATCTTATTAAAAGCCTGGCCTGATGATGATACCTTGGATTATAATTTGAAGTGAATTAACGTCATCATTACGGAAATTGCAATCAAAGAAGGCCGCGTGGCGCATATTTTCGAGTTTGGTGTACCACATAGTCGGCCGACTCTTTTGCAATTACCCATTACCCGCAATACTATGTAAGATTGAATGTATATGTATATACGCGTCAAACTTCGTTTCACCTTAATAATTGGGACGAACTTTGCGAATTGCGGCAAGGATCTGCGGAAGAGTGACGTCTCGCGGTGACAACAAACAGAGATTACCCCCGAGACTCGCTGCACCGAGTGTCCCAGGCTCATCATGTCCCGCACCAGCTTCGTTACCCACACCGCGGTCACCCTTCCTTCCATACCATTACTTATGCACGCGCTCATGAGAGCGAGCCAAACTTTACTCCGACACCAGCTAAGAGCTCGGGAACTACTTTGTTGTATTTATCAACCATCTCTGGGATTCACCTTGAAAGTGCAGCAATTAAGAATGGGATCGTTGCGTCATCGATAAGGATCATCCGAGGGTGGACAAGAAAATATGGAGTCGAGATAACGAATGATGGCTAAAAATCTACCACGGCATTGGTGATTAATCCCGTTGTACGTGTTTCAAGTGTATATCACGTTTCCCCTCTCGATTGATGAGTATATTATATACATTGTGTATACTCGACGTGATCAAGGGGATTCAATATTTTTTAATAATAGGAGCATTCGTCATGCTTTTGTTCCCTTGGCTACCGGTTTTCCTCCGTAAATTATGTTGAGGGGTAGTCACGAGTATAATAATAACCCAATGGTTTATAGCGTTACGTCGAAAGGCCATTTTTTCAAAAGGGTGCGCCAATTTCTTATATTATATAATGCAATTTGTTTTGAAAAGCCGTGCCACTGAATTTTCATTGGGCTCGGGTGTCGCGTGTATGCAAATACACAAAGAAAAATGACCTTTCCATATTTGATGGAGATAAAAATCTCGCTGACCGTTTGAGATTAAGTCCGCTCGAACGCGCTTGATCTCACTAAATCATGCCACGATTCATTCATCAGTTGACTCGCTATACGTATCCAACGTTGAAATATGCCAGGTCGTATGCAGCATCTGATTACATGCGGGAGGAGCATTTTTCCATTACCATAAATATGAGTTATTGATTGAACAACCCTTCGTGCAAATGATTGCAGGATTATTGATCGTATGGTAGAAAAAATCGGTTTATGCGAGTCTTTATTTTTCACTATCATCATAAGGCCCACTTGATTCGATACCGATCAAATATACCGCTCCTCGTTACGATGTGTACCGATTCTTCAGCTTCTTTGGCGTACCTACATTCGTACTATAAAAAACACGTGCCGGAAGCCAGCCTCGGCGCGTGAAATATCACTGCTTGGGGAACAATTCGATAAAGCTAAATGGGTATAATGGAGCAATTTGCGTAAGCGTAGGCGCAGTGATTCGAAGCTCCGTAGCTGTGGGCAGCGCGTAAGAGGGCACAGATGGACTCGCGTATACATAGCCGGATGACAAAAACAGAAAGTGCGGCGGGAAGGAATGGTAGGAGGTGTCTGTTGGTGTGTACGCGCGACCGTACCTATACTGCTCAGTTTGAAATTGAAGTGTCGCGGGCGTGCAAACGTATCGCTGGTTTTTCTCGATCAAATATCGCGTGCGAGTGTCTCCTGCCCGAGCGCCCTGCTACCGTCGTTGCTTGCGGTGTAGCACAAGCATCAACCACTGGACAGTGTAATGCTCACTTGACGCGGAGACTGCGCCAACCCACGTAAGTAAAATTTGTTACGTTTAACAACTCAAACATCACCTCTCGTGCACTGCTTTACCGTTTTCGGTTTTTTTCAGTTTAGTCTATATGTATTTACTTCTTTTAGCAATTTAAACTATCCTGCCGCGTGAATCTGTTACAATGGAGGTGCAAATTGACGAGTTTGTCGCGTTAAATGTTCAATTTTTCTGTATGTCTCGATGTCATCTCTGTAGTAACTGTTTTATTTTCGCTACAGTGCTCGCAAATTAAATTTTCATCCAAAGACCGATACTATGCAGCCACAAATTTAATTTACTGTTTTTTGATTTTTAACGCGAACAAATAAGTACATGTTTGGATTTTTAAAAAATCGATCAGGTAATTTTATCGCAATATTAATCCGATCATATAAACTTCTATAGACTGCGCGGTGAATCGTTTGAGTAATAGGAGTTAATAGTTGTAATAATCCTCTTAGCGCACGTGGCACAAATGTAATGTCCATAATCTCACGTTAATGCCCTTCTTTTCTCAAAATCGTATCATTCGTGCACTACCAATTATCATCAAAAGCTCCCAGTGTAATTTCCCGCAACTGACTCTTCAAATTAACGTTCAGTGTTTTAAAAACAATATAAAATCCCTTTGTTCCAACGTTTCACAAACTCATTTAACAGTTGTAATTTGAATTTATATCCTAGTTACTGTTAACTTTTTGAACTATGCGGTTGCAGGCACATACATCACTTGCTCGATAATATTCACTTCACTGCGTCCTGGTTATTTGCATGATGAAAATATTCATCACGCAACGAGGTAGAGCAAACACTTTCAATGAATTAATTTTCAAATTGACACATACCTGGCAATGCCTTCCGTTGAAAGTGTGTGATCCGCAGTACATAAATTATCACATTGCTTTTTTTATCGGTTAAAAAATCCAATGTAAATCTAGAAAAAAAAATGTGCATGGGAGATCTTTGATGTACATAGTATTTAAGATAACAAGACCGCGCAAGTCGTGAAGGTCGTATAGTTGATTCGCCAAGCTGACTCGAGTACGGTTTTACAACTCTACAATACAACCTTATGATTAATCCTATCTTCCATTCATTCCGGAGACAGTAAGTACGGGAAAATAAATTCATGTGTCGAGCTATAAAAAAAAATAATAATAAAAATAAAAGCGCAGCAGAGTAAAAAGGCAACAACTACACTTCAATCAATAACTACACCTAATGGACTTGTAAGGAAAAACAAAAGTGAATCATATTTTAATGATCAACTAGCTTTATTTAAATTACGCGATCTCAAAGTGAACTTTTTCGTTATTTACTGAAAATTCTGAAAGTAATGGAGTTTTTTTTTTTTAATCACACAATAAAGAATAAATTTTACTGTCTGGCTACGACATCTCGGTATATATCAGTGTGCGTTACCTAGTAAAACATTAATCTTCTCGCTCTTATCTATACGCACTATTAAAAGGTGAAATTTACGCTTTTGCAGCTACGTATCGTAAAGTCAAACTGTTGATCAATCTGGTGATTTATTTTTTTTTCCCCCAGGTTTTGTTCATTCGGCGTTTAAAAATACTGCGGGCGGGCGCACTCAAATCCGTAACATCAAAATCGATACTTACTCGTGCACTGAAACAAATACTTTGTACATGTTTGTTCCGTAAGTAAACAGAGTAACGCAGCAGCAAAGCGTATTATATTCGGAAGCAAATAACGCAAACATCGAGTACATATTGTATAACGAATATTTAGCGAGTTGTTGTGATTCACAGGCGATCCTTCAAAATGCATGTGCAGTGAATCCGGGAGTCTCCGGTAAAGCTTCAAGGTAAGCCGGATTGCTCTCCTTATTTTTCGCACCAAGCTTCAATTTGATTAATATTTTACGTTGTGGAAAAAAAACCAAAAAAAAAAAAACCAACTTTTCACCGCTCGCTCATTTATTTAACGCAAAATACATCCTTGTAACGCTATTAGGAGAGCTTTGCATCACTGGAGTTAAAAATAACCAATGAAATCCTCGTTATAATTAGAAATTTGTTTAATCAACGCGAGAAAATCTCGATTAATTATTTAGCTTGATAAATCTTTTAATCCAGCAGTGGGACGCTCCCAAGCAGGCTTGAGGCGCGCGTGAAAGGTCCGCTTATTCAAGGATACTCCGTCACGGACGCCTAGGGCGGCAATCGGGTAATCAGTGTTTGCACATATACGTATAGCGTGCGCCGTCGCAGCCGCTGTATACACACAGTCCCATTGATGTAATATCCTGTGGTGTGAATGTTTTAGTACTTGGGTGATTGCTGCGCGCGGGCGTACGTGCATGATGACAGTGGGCGCCGTACCACGTACCGTAGTGGTATTCAAAGCTCGGCTATACATCGAATGACTTTGCGTGAAAAAATTTTTTCTACCGGCTATATGGGAATCGGATATTACTGGCAACAATTTTACACAGCGTTAAGCTGGCGATGTTGATGTTGCGAGGGATAAGAAGAGATATAAAAAAAAAAAATTTCCAATTAATTTTTCTTAGCCCTTCTCGACTGAATTAATTCTCAAATTCATTATAAATCATCATGGTAACTTATTTTTTTATTACTAAAGTGGTATTTACACTTAAATAGCAAATGTTTTAGAATTTGCGTATGGAATTAATTGGATTTTTTTTTTTTTTTCTTCACAAATTAGGTCAATGAGAAATTTTTTTTAACCAATCAAATATCAAACCGAGAGCTGAATATTTTTTTATACGGACTTACCGCCCGTTACATCAATATCGGGAAAGTAAAAAGCCGATAGGATATGAGCTCGAAAAAAGGCAAACACTACCAATCACTAATAACCTCAGAATTTATCCTTGGCCAACATTTTCGATTTATCATCCCAAAAGTGAATGGAATGAGCTTACGTCACCAAATATACTTACTGTAAAAATTCATACATTATATTAAAATTCACGAATATTGGTGCCCACTTGAATATCGGGTATTTAAGATTATTTTCTGCGGCCAACAATTTACAATTAGAACCTCAGACTAGAGTAGCAAAATTTATTGTTGAAAAAACGCACGTTCAAATAAAAAACACACACTACGCCCTTTTTTAAACCTCTCCAAAGATTTCAGGAGTAAGAAGTATAAATGGAGCCGTCGCCAAAGTTTGTGGAAATACGAGTAGCGGATTTTCAACCAGCCGAACGATGGAGAATCATGAAAAACATCCTGATGATTGGCTTCGCCTTCATGCTCCAGTTTACAGCCTTCATGGGAGCGAGCAATCTTCAGAGTTCCGTCAATGCTGACCAATCCCTGGGCACATTTACTCTGGCTGCTATTTACGGAAGCTTGATTTTCAGCAATATTTTTCTACCTGTCTTGATTATAAGGTAATTCATAGCATAATTCGTGACTCTCGGTGGCACAATCGTATACAATAGCCGAGGAAAAAGTGCGAGGTCTATCAAATTCCTGTTTTCTCTCGGTTTCGGAAAATAAATAGCATTACTTTACTCGACGAAAATTTAACTGTATGATTTTAATCGATCGGTATAAAAAGAATCGTAAAAATCTAGTCAATAAATCATTTATTAGATGTATTACGTATATTGGAGTACATGGATTTTTTATTTATGAAATTCTGCGAGTTAAAAAAAGTTACAATTTTTCGAGCATAAAATTAAATTAACCCCATGGGTACACCATGCCACTTCATTATTAATTTATGATGATTAAAAGTGTTGTGCGGAGGTATTTAAAAATAATTTAAAAATTTCCATTTGATTAAAACTACCCTTAGCCCACTTTATCGGAAGAGCATTAAAATGCAACATCTTGTATTCATGATGATTGGCATCGGTATTGATTATTCCACAGACTACGGAACACGCCTTTAATTTATCGAATGATACAGTACAGAAATTAAAAAAAATTTTTTTAAATTAGCTTGCTATATAATAGTTGCAGGTACGATCGTTAGCTCATTTCCATAATTACATCGGCTTTTCAACCTGCAAATGATCGATCACTCACTCGTGAAAAATGTAAAAAAAGACAACAATGCTCGCCGTTAAAACGAGCAAAAAATCACGAGGGCTCGAAATTAATTCTTTCGGAAAATTGGTTCGAGAGAGTCACTCGAGGCATAATAGAAATACTTCGAGAGACTCCGAAGATTCCGAGTGGTTTTCACAAACGAGGCTATTGTGCGCGAGCCAAGGTGGATTTTCATTAATTTGTTTCTCGCTTAAATCTGTGTAAATTAAAGCCGGGGGGAGAGGCAAAGTCGTAGTTGGGAAATTCTGCACTCGGCTTACACCCTCCCTCCCCCCGGGACAAATCACCCGAGTGGAGATTTCCCATTTGTTCCCGCGTTGTCATAAAATCCAGATTTGTTCGAGAAACAAAATCCACATTGACACTCGAAGGAAACCAATGAATGACCCAATACGCGTCAGAGCAAAAGTCCCTCTCCCTGCTTAGTCGAAATGACGCGGAAAGTTATGCGTGGTGGCACAATCAGAGAGGGAGAAATGAAAATGATGAAAACCCCGTGAAAACAACAATGCCGCAGCTGGCTGGGATGCAAGTGGACGATAGCCGTGGCGTTCGTCGCGTACATGCCCTTCATCGCGGCGCAGTTCTGGCCGCGCTTCTACACGATGATACCCGCTGGGCTGGCGGTTGGACTTGGGGGCGGGCCACTCTGGTGCGCCCAGTGCACCTACTTCACCGTCGCGTCCGAGGCCTACGCGAGCATATCCGAGCTCAGCGCTGACGTCCTGGTCACGAGGTTCTTCGGGCTCTTTTTCATGTTCTACCAGATGGCCCAGGTCTGGGGCAACCTCATCTCCTCTGCAGGTCAGACGTACTTCTACAAATACCCCCACTTTTATAAGTACACCTGCTAAATACCCCCGATCGCTGTTTTTATTACCATCTACATTTTCAATGCAAATCAATTCAGGATAGCCCCGCGACGGAGCCCTTGAAATTTCCATAAACAGCGCGACATTCACCCATCGGGAGAAAAGAGCCGGGAGGGAGATTATACGCCCGCTGTCGAGGGTCTTTGCTTATTTAACACCGGGGGGGGGAAAAAAAATCCTGATTTCTCGTTGCAACGCGTGTACAATTAACCATTTCCGATAAAATCTGCGCGAGAGGAGACAGTATTAATTTATCGATGATTATTCCAAGAGCTTCGCGTTTACGTAACGAAAGGGAAGTAAAAAACAAAACATTAGGGGCTGATGAAAGTGTCTTGTATAAGTAATATGGTGCATGTTTTCCAACATGTGCGTAGTTATGTCGTACGGCCTGGAGCCAAAGGAAGCAACGGTGAACGCAACGGCCGAAAACATCAACGGGAGCTTGGCGTTGGTGGCCGAGCTGTGTGGAGCTAACTTTTATGGGGTGGCCTCGGCTTCGGAGGAAAATCCAAACCTCGAGCCACCGCCACCGGAGAGGATCCAACTGATCGCTGGGATCTACCTCTGCTGCATGCTCCTGGCCTCGCTCATCGTCGCCCTCGGCGTTGACTCTCTTGCGAGGTTGGTACACCACCGATGACGAACGTCGTCTTTTCGTATCGCTACACGCGCATAACGGATTGCATTTTCTTTGCCCAGGGCCCGTTTGTCTTCCCTCCGGTTTTTGTTATTTCAAGGCTATTTGCACCCGCAAAACTTGGCGAAATCTATTTATTACGCTCCACGGTTTTTCTTTTCCGCCCGGGTAACAAATGGCTTTCTCCTCCTTCTCCTCCCTCTTTCTCCGGCACAGTTTTTCCACCTGCAAGCTTCTATTTCGCGCTTACACCGATGTACGTGCTGTCTCCGTCCCGTACGTTGCTAGTGATTGATTACGTGCGCTTCATATTTATATCAAAATTGGTCGCAAACCGAACTACTTTTTTCATGCTCATACTGGTGTATAATGAGCTAATCTATAGTATATTGATGAGTTACAAACAAATATTTCATTGTTTGGGATGGACAAAGTCCAATAGTTAACAAAAATTTTTTTTAAATTGAATGATTACAGAATATCGTCCTTTTCAAGATATCATCATTTTTTACATAGATATAGCGATTTTGAGATTTCGATAATTACTATAGATAAAAAATTCCAATCCAAGGTGAAATTTGACTAATAAAACAATCATTTAATCCTTCGAATAGGCCTCAGTACCACGGATTGTAAAAAAATTTTTCAGAAATTTTAATGATTACAGATTATCGTCGTTTTCGTGATAATTTCGAATATCTTCATTATTTACGGAGATATAGTGATTTTAAGTTTTCGATAATTTCTAGATGAAAAATTTCAATCTTATAGCATTGCCACCAATTTTATTGAGTTCCGCAAAAGTATAACGAGGTAATATAAGTTACATTTGACTGATAAAACAATCATTTAATCAATTAAATAGCTCTCAGTACAACAGATTAAGAAAAAAAATTTTCAGAAATTTGAATGATCACAGATTATCGTCCTTCTTGCGATATCTCCATTATTTACGGAGATATAACGATTTTAAATTTTCGATAATTTCTAGATAAAAAATTCCAATCTTATAGCATTGCTACTAATTTTATTCAGTTTCGCATAGTATAATAATGTAATATAGGTGAAATTTGACTAATAAAACAATCATTTTATTTTTTAAATAGGCCTTAGTACAACAGATTAAAGAAATAATTTTCAGAGATTTTAATGATCACAGATTATCGTCCTTTCCGCCGTATCTTCATTATTTACAGAGAAATAGCGATTTTAAGTTTTCGATAATTTCTAGATAAAAAATTCTAATCTTATAGCATTGCTACTAATTTTATTCAGTTCCGCATAGTATAATAAGGTAATATAGATGATATTTGACTAATAAAACAATTATTTAATCCTTTGAATAGGCCTCAGTACCACGGATTGTAAAAAAATTTTTCAGAAATTTTAATGATCACAGATTATCGTCCTTTTCGGGATATCTTCAATATTTACGGAGATATAGCGATTTTAATTTTTCGATAATTTATAGATAAAAAATTCCAATCTTATAGCATTGCCACCAATTTTATTCAGTTCCGCATAATATAATAAGGTAACATAAGTTACATTTGACTAATAAAACAATCATTTAATCAATTAAATAGCTCTCAGTACAACAGATTGAAAAAAAAATTTTCAGAAATTTTAATGATCACAGATTATCGTCCTTTTCGCGATATCTTCAATATTTACGTAGATATAGCGATTTTAATTTTTCGATAATTTCTAGATAAAAAATTCCAATCTTATAGCATTGCCACCAATTTTATTCAGTTCCGCATAATATAATAAGGTAACATAAGTTACATTTGACTGATAAAACAATCATTTAATCAATTAAATAGCTCTCAGTACAACAGATTGAAAAAAAAATTTTCAGAAATTTTAATGATCACAGATTATCGTCCTTTTTACGATATCTTCAATATTTACGGAGATATAGCGATTTTAAGTTTTCGATAATTTATAGATAAAAAATTCCAATTTTATAGCATTGCTACTAATTTTATTCAGTTCCGCATAGTATAATAAGGTAATATAATTAACGTTTGACTAATAAAACAATCATTAAATCTTTTAAATAGGCCTTCGTACAACAGATTAAAAAAAAAATTTTCAGAAATTTTAATGATTCCAGATTATCGTCGTTTTCGCGATATCTTCATTATTTACGGAGATATAGCGATTTTAATTTTTCGATAATTTCCAGATAAAAAATTCCAATCTTATAAAATTGCCACCAATTTTATTCAGTTCCGCATAGTATAATGAGGTAATATAAGTTACATTTGACTGATAAAACAATCATTTAATCGATTAAATGGGCCTAAGTACAACAGATTAAAAAAAAAAATTTTCAGAAATTTTAATGATCACGGATTATCGTCCTTTTTGCGATATCTTCATTATTTACGGAGATATAGTGATTTTAAGTTTCCGATAATTTCTAGATTAAAAATTTCAATCTTATAGCATTGCCACCAATTTTATTGAGTTCCGCAAAAGTATAACGAGGTAATATAAGTTACATTTGACTGATAAAACAATCATTTAATCAATTAAATAGCTCTCAGTACAACAGATTAAGAAAAAAAATTTTCAGAAATTTGAATGATCACAGATTATCGTCCTTCTTGCGATATCTCCATTATTTACGGAGATATAACGATTTTAAATTTTCGATAATTTCTAGATAAAAAATTCCAATCTTATAGCATTGCTACTAATTTTATTCAGTTTCGCATAGTATAATAATGTAATATAGGTGAAATTTGACTAATAAAACAATCATTTTATTTTTTAAATAGGCCTTAGTACAACAGATTAAAGAAATAATTTTCAGAGATTTTAATGATCACAGATTATCGTCCATCCGCCGTATCTTCATTATTTACAGAGATATAGCGATTTTAAGTTTTTGATATTTTCTAGATAAAAAATTCTAATCTTATAGCATTGCTACTAATTTTATTCAGTTCCGCATAGTATAATAAGGTTATATAGATGATATTTGACTAATAAAACAATCATTAAATCTTTTAAATAGGCCTTCGTACAACAGATTAAAAAAAAAATTTTCAGAAATTTTAATGATTCCAGACTATCGTCGTTTTCCGCGATATCTTCATTATTTACGGAGATATAGCGATTTTAATTTTTCGATAATTTCCAGATAAAAAATTCCAATCTTATAAAATTGCCACCAATTTTATTCAGTTCCGCATAGTATAATGAGGTAATATAAGTTACATTTGACTGATAAAACAATCATTTAATCAATTAAATGGGCCTAAGTACAACAGATTAAAAAAAAAAATTTTCAAAAATTTTGATTACAAATTATCATCTTTTTTGCGATATCTTTATTATTTGAGAAGTTACGGCGATTTTAAATTTTTTAATTATTTTCAGCCGAAAATGTTTAATATACAGCGTAACTCCAATATTTTTCTGGCTTTGCATGGTATTATGAGCCAATCTGTGTAATATTGGGATGATAAAACAATTATTTGATTTTTTCTAATGACCGACAGTCAAGAAAAATATTAAAACACAACAAATATGTTAAACTTAGTTTAAAGTCACACTGTGTTATGGCACCAGACTATTTGTTAAATTTTCTACGAACGCACAAACGTTTTGTTAAAAATTTATTAATCTTGTATATCTTACAATTTTCTTGTATTCATGAATATTATAATAAGTAAGCAGATTCTTGAATTTTATATAATTTCGACGTTTAGTTTGTATCAATTCAGTAATTTATACAAAAAAGTGCTTCGACTATAATTTTTTATGAGCTACTCTCTTGGCGTTTTTTTTTTGAGCACTCCTACCAGTATTAATTATTTCATTTGACCCATGAAAGGACTCAAAGTGCAATCGCACATGAATTAAAACTCGCCCTCCCAATCGTCCAATATTTTTTAAAAGCCCCGATATCATTCCAGTCCACTTGGACTAATGGAAATGGGAAAGAAAGTAGTTATAATTCTCATGGGCATTACAAAGGACACCACGACTCGTCCAGTTAAAAATGATGTATAAAATGATCGAAGGTACGACAGGGGCCGCAAGGGCTCGGCCAGCGGCAAGTCTGGATTGAAGCTACTCGCCGTGACCCTCGAATTGCTCGGGGAAAGAAGCCAACAGCTCATTCTGCCGATCACTATATTCATCGGGGCGGAGCAGGCTTTTCTCTTTGCCGATTACAACGCCGTAAGTCATACTTTACCCACCGTCATCTGCGCTCCAACGAGCTGGTTAATCGACCGGCTTGCGATAACCGATCACACTTATGTAACACCCAGTTCTTCCGATGAAATCTCGTTACTGCAAACGGAAAAATAAAACACACTGCGCTGTTGCGACAATTTGTACACATAATCACGCCCCCATTTTTCTCTTTTTTTTTTACGAGTAATAAAAGCAATTACTCCTATCATTATCCACGTGTACACGCAATGGCAGCTCTAATTACGCATAATATATACTGTTTGCACAGGCCTTCGTCTCGTGCGCTTGGGGCATAAGCAAAATCGGCTACGTGATGATATGCTTCGGCGTCGTGAACGCCATAGCGGCTCCGGCGATCGGCTCGATAGTCAAGGTAACGGGACGCATGCCGGTCATGCTGTTCGCCTTCTGCTTGCACCTGGGAATCCTCGTTGCGCTGATACTCTGGAGGCCCCAAGCCCAGCAGGGCTGGATTTTTTTCCTGGTCTCGGGACTCTGGGGAGTCTGCGACGCCGTCTGGCTCGTGCAGGTCAACGGTGAGTATGGACTTTTTGCTGTTGGTATACGGTAGCCGGTGGGGGCCAAAAGTAGCTGGAAACTAAAATAAAAATAAACGAAGCCATTAGAGCCCAGTGTGCTCTGTCGAGTCCCATTGATTGCTATCGTGTACTTAATCGACCCGCGTGCGTTTGAATATGGATGCGCAATTTTTTACAAAGACCAGCCGCCTCTCATATTTTATTCAGGGCATCTGTACGCGCGAGATTTCAAAGAAAATACCAGATGTGTGGATGTATTTTTCCGAATTTGCATGCTCTTTCTTTTCTTTTTTTTCATTCATCGGTTGACCTGTTCTTCCACCAGGAAGACATTCTATTGTCAGCCGTCGCGCTTGTTTGTTTTAAGGTTTTGAATTTTTCAAAGCAACGGGTTATTTTTTTCCAGCTAACCCCGAGCAAAAATGGATTTTTTGACATTATTCAACGATTCTTTTTTTTAACGCACACCTTTTTTCGTTCAAAACAAATAAAAGGATGGACGTGGCATCGCCAGTTTGTGACGCGTGGTCAAAGTTATGCTTTTCGATTCCCCTTTGGCGATCCAACCTCAGAACTCGGGGGCGCCGGAAATTGAAGCACACCCGTAGTAAGCTTGCAATCTCATCTTCGGCTCTCACACACGTGACCCCAAGTACGAGCGGGCGCTTGACCGCCACGCTATTCGTACCCCGGCCACCCGAGTCCCATCACGTTGTCGAGTTGTTTGGTACAATCTAGACCTGCTTACCTCGTGCACGCACTATCAAATAGGATGGTCGACTCGACGAAGCAAAAAACACGCCCCGCACGAATGCAGCCCACGGGAGCGGGTGAATTTTGAATGGACGCATCTCGGAAAACGGTAACAGCTGTGGGATGTATAAAACATTTTTTAGCACGTACTGTATTTCATGCCCCGTCGAGTGCTTGATGCATTGTTATCCCTTGCGCCGGGGATGAAAAAAATGATCGTACGAAACGGACTGAGATCTCGAACTCTCGAAAAACTTACTAAAATCTCGCGGGATTGGATCGATGCGTTTGCGCCGCGCAACGCGAAAAATGCAAATTCATTCGGATCCAGGAAGAATCATCGGATTTGTATTTCCCTCGGAAGCACAACGCATTAGGTATTCGTTGCGTTTCGCGAGATAAATTCTGAAACGAGCCATACACGCGCGATCGATAATCTTAACTTGGATATGTATCTCACGGTTCGCGTAACCAATTACGAATTTTGGTTTGTTTTTCCTTCGCGTTTCGATTCACTGCCAAACCATCGCGTATTAAATTTCGCGATGGTAAACACACCTGCTTACCGGGGCAAATTTAAATATCATCTCCGCTCTCGAGGCAGTAAATATTAATGAAACACGCTGCCTCTCTCTCTCGGTTATTGAATTAAATTGCTTATACGCGCAACATAGAAGCCATTCGATCGAGCAAACGCGCGAAAATTTTCTCGCCGTTTCTAATTACCTTGTAAATTATACCCGAGAAACTCCAATCGGTGATGTACTATATACTCGGGGGAGGGGAAAAAAGTTTTTTTCCTCGTTAGCGGCCTGAATAATTCAGTGGTCGATGTACCATTGGTCTTTACAAGGATTATTGAAAGTTAAGGTGGGCTGATTGCGTTCGTGTTGAAATGGCCCGGCGGCGCTCTCCGTGGACCACATTTCCCGGAATAAAATTTGTAATTCAGTCGGGTCACTCGGTACCACACCTGTTGGCCGATTCAATCACCCTTGAGGGGCAAAACTTTGGCAAGGAACTCGTTACAAGTAGCTGTTGAGTAGTTTTTTTTCAAGCAAGCAAATAAATAAAATCAATTATACATAATGATTAATAATCTAATGAAAAAAGAACAAACACAATTGTGCTTCTCTGGTCAAATTTGTACATAAAGTGCACTCTGTTTTTCGTCGCGCTTATTTAGAAAACGTGTAGGTAATACATATTTTCATGTCGAGCCCTTCCTCGGTGATTATCAAATGGTAACTGGCCAGTAGTCGGTACGCTATCGCGGGAGATTCGTTATCGGCGCACGAAAATTTTGTAAACTTCCAACGGTGAAAGTAGATCATGTTTCTTTCAATATATACTTATTTTGCAAGATTTCGAATTTCATGTATAAAATTTTTTTTTTTCAGCGCTAAGCGGAATATTGTTTCCCGGAAAGGAAGAGTCTGGCTATTCCAACTTCAAGCTGTGGGAGGCTACCGGTTCCGTGATCACTTACGCTTACAGTCCATATTTGCGCACCAGCGTCAAATTGTACATTTTAATGGTCGTTTTGATCGTAGGCGTGACTTGTTACTTGATAATCGAGTGCACGGGTCGAGTGAAAAAAGTTACGAGCCGCGACAAAGCGGACTTTGCGTTAGTCGCAACTGCCGAAAAATACTGATTAAATGACTTATTGTGTTTTTATACGGTGGCATTTTCGAAAACCGAGTATTTTTTTATACGCGCGACGCCAATATTTTTATAAAAAAATTTTCATCGATCTCAGGAGACATAATATAAATTAATTTTATGATTTATAAATGAAAGGTGGCAAGGGATACGTTTAATGGAAGGAGAAGTTGATGTATACTTGACGACTGAATAAAGACAATGGAGTTGATAAATAAATAAATAAATAAATAAATGCTCATCTCTGCTTCGTACCACAATATATGTTTTTATTTAATTTTTGTGGACACCTACTAGCTTTTACACAGGTATTCGCTTACGGGCTAAAGTTCCTTTTTGCTTTAATTTTTAATACGTAATGTAATGTTACATCGTGTCTAAGCGCTAACATTCAATCTAAAGCTAATTGTATACTCATGTGCTTAATTTTCGACTGTATACGTACGTTTACTGTTTCAAGGTTTTTATTGTTTGTTTTTTTTCTTTCTTTCTTTCTTTCTCTCTATCTTTCACTCGCCATGATGTATCATTTGTTCATTTTATTTTTCGAGTGAAAAGTTGCGACAAAAATGCTTACGACGAACAGGACGCACGCCTGCATATTTTATATTCTCCCGTCACTGTCGAAGAGCGAAATAACATCTGCGTGGATGAATGAACGATACGCTTTCGCAATGACGTGGCGATAGAGATGGTTTTTGCTCTCGTCGATACATTTTACATGCGACTTGGAGAAGCACTGCTTTGATATATTGTGTTTTAATGTATCGATTGAGGTGTTCTATAAAGTTACATTTTTTTCTCATATAATAGCCTTGAAATTGTTGGTCGTGTGTGTACATGGACGTGTGTTTGTTTGTGTTCCTGAGGTGGGGGAGGGGGAGGTTATTTTTTTTTTTCGTGTGTGCATATTCTGTAAATACTATTAATTAATTATGTAATACTTGTGTATCTCCTTTATTTACAATCCCAGTTTTACAGTCGAGTAACTTTATAAAATGTAGTAGGAACTTTGGTTTCACCGAGTAATGTTTCGAGAGCAGTTTCCTCCCAAGTATTGCCGAAAGGTTTTTTACTTTGCTGCCCGTGTTAATTTCATTTACAAGTCGACTTTGTACTACAGAGATTTTATACAATTGTGTGGCAATCCAAAAATGATACTGGCCCCGCTGCTGCTGCTTATGACCGGCATCGACGTTTGGCTGTATCCGAAAGAAAGTTGCTTTTGCGCGGAGCGCTGACATTTCTGCCAGAAACTGCTGGAAACATTAGCCCGTGGATCTGCGTTTTCCTTAGAAATATGACACTCACGAATATAACTCACATTACTTTTTTTTTCCATTTTTTGTTCCTTTCTTTTATGTAGCCTAAGCATAAAGAGCATTTTTGCAATGTTTATCTATTTAGATGTGAAACTTTCAAGAAGAAAATATACATGATTTCCACTTTTGTTCATTTTTTATTTATTATTATTTTTTTTTTTTTTAATCTCTTCTTCCATTTAGCGTACTTGTTCCTCGTCCTTTCTTCCTTTCTCGTCAACCACGTAACAAAATTTATTAACCAGAATCTCTGTACAAACGTTTTTTTATTTTTTATCTTTTTTTTTCTTCTAAATCACTTTTTTTTCACTTTAATTTTTATCAAAAGGACATAACACTCTACGCATTTTTATCGAAATAGAAATTTTGAATTTTGAATTTTATGCCGTTCGACCCGCCTCTCACAGAGTGCGCTCTCGCGTATTATAATACAGTTTTTAGGAACAAACCACTTTGCTCATCATATTTTTTCCTAAAGTTATTCCTAAAAATATCGCCTTTCGTTCGTTATCAACTTTTAACCATGTAAATTTTCTTTGCATGCCTTTTTTCCTTTTTAGCTATTTTATAGCTACCGTAGTTGTCTTAGGTAAACTTTACTCCTTTTAAAATGCCTATTATTTTATTTTCATGAACAATTTTTTATAGTAATATGTACAGGCTATATTTGGAGACTCAAATAATATTATGTATTGAAAAAAAAAACCCATCATTTATGAAAGAATAGTCGATGTTGCTGAATAAAGCATACGTAACTTTACAATTTAATTTTAAAATGCAATAAATTACAAAGTGAACAATTTTTGTTAATTTATAGAAAAATCATGTGAATCGTACAAAATTGTTTGAAAGCATTTGTTTATTTTAATTATTAAAAAGTTAAAAAATTTTGTGCTCTGTTTTTTGAACAATTCCGTTCAATAATTCTGCGAAATTGATGGCATTCAATAGCTTTTGTTCAATTAAATACTTTTTTGTTAGTAATTGTTAGACAAACGCATGACTAGTGAGATAAAATTTTTTTGAATTTCTTAACTTTTACAAATTGCCATAGGGATAAATATCGTAAAGTACATTTTTTCGATAATAATTTTATATATGTTGATTATCAGTTTTAATTATCTTTCTTTGTTTCCTTCTTTTCACACGCGAACATCTGAAGTAGCTTACAATAATGAAAACGATATTTGTTCCTATAGATGAATTTATTCAAAGCAGCTTGTCAGTACACAAGTATACTTTCAAGACGAATTACTGCGATCGATTGTTATTCTTTAGCAATGTCAACATTTCTTACAGAAATATTCGTGTGTAATCATTTATATAGAGGGTCCATCTAAATCGAGCCTTTTTTTCTTTCCACAATTTCCTACAAGGGTTACAAGTTATTTTTAACTTTTACTTTTTTTGCAAGCGATTTTTTAGTGTATCCAAAAATTTTGCTACTACATTCAGCAGAAAAAAAAATGTAGTACAAAAAATTCATTAGTCCTATATGTAATTAAACAAATTTCAACGTACGTTTCTCATCAATCAATTCCAAACTTACTTCAATTTATTCAATCGTAACATACATTTTGTCAAGACATGCTTCACTTTTACATTTTTCCATTTATCGCTATAATAGTAGTAAATGTGTGCTCGCTGTTTTCATTTCGGTGCTCACGAATTCGTTCACCGTTACGTACGATAATAATATTAATAATAATAATAATAATAATAAAAATAATCATCATAAATTTTGTGATGCGAATATATAAATTTCAGCTAGTTACTTTTGACGAAAATTAAAAAATTTATGATCATTATCTCAATCATAACCATCACTCCCCTACTCACGTAAAAATTATTTACAAATAATACACGCGTATACGTTGCGATCACAATGCTCAGTGGTTCAAGTCGAGCAGTCCTCGTTACCCTGTTTCCGTCCGCTCGATTGTGTACCACCTGTGTCAGTCGTTATTACTCGTAGGTTCGCTTTATTTGTTTTTAAACTCAATTTTTATTATTTTTTTTATTTTTCAAATTTTTATAATCAATCGTATTCAAATTAGCCTCAACGAAAACTACCGGAACTAAATTCGGAGAGAACTTGCATCATCGTTATCATCAGCACACATAAACGTAAGTTTTTTTAACATAACTTTGCGTGTCTTACGAAATAATGAGTTTAATCCTAAAATCATGGCTAAGTCATTAGGATCTATGACTCTTTCTAGTGCCTTTCCATGTTCAAGGATTGCATAGTATGTATATGCATACGCTATTAAATAAATTAAGGCTCCCCCCTTTCCTAACATTTTTCGGCTCGAGAGAAAAATCTTAATTAACGAAGTAAGCTCTGTCCTTTTTTTTAACATAAAAAAAAAAAAAAAAAAAAAAAAAAAAAAAAAAAAAAAAAAAAAAAAAAAAAGAGGAGAGAGTTTAGTTGTGCTAGAAACAAGATTTGGATCACGAACTCGCTTCGTATAGTATATATAATTATATCATCATTATTCCGAATGCGCATGATAAGTATGTGTGTAAATATATATTTATAATATATATATATGTGTGTGTGTGTGTATGTGTGTGTATTTGTCCCTATATACTTGTCTGCCGCTCGATATCTCTCGCATCCTTCTCTGCCTCGACGGCCCGTTTGACGGATCACAACGAAGCTTAAAGCTATAGGTATAATATTCTCACAGTGTCGTGTCGTGGAAACCATCGTACGCGTGTCACCATCAGCTTCTCTCCCGTGAAATGCAAAATTCGCTGCAGCGTTGGAAGAGGGAGATGGATAGGGATAGCGATGGATCGAGGCTTGGGAGGGTGGGAAAAGGTGAGAGCCGGCTGCGTTCGGCCGGTGGTGTCTTTTCCCTCTCGCCGGTCCTCGATGCCGGTCGTCCAACGATTGGTCTGGCCCACCGATTTTATTCGCCGGTCGCGCTTAAGACATGCCCTTCGACATCAACCTCACGGTGTTTTTGAGGGCCTGTCTCTTGTTGCAGAACCAGATCCTAATGACTTCGCGGTCGTAGCCCAGTTGCCCCGCCAGCGCTGTGATTTCGGGCCCTGGAATAACACGAAACGCCTTACTTATCACTCATCCTCGTCATCAAGGATTACAAGGTTCCTCATTCGCCGCACAAGCTCTCGCTTGTTACTATACACACCTATATATACATACCTCATATAGTATACGCGACACACTTGTAATTGCAGTACAAGAGGTATAAAGAGTTTTTTGAAAGCAAGGCATAATTAAATACGCTCTCTGGACGTGTCTTTTTTTTCGGCAAATAAAAGTGCAAACTGCGTAAAAACAAAAGGGGGGGAAGCGTGAAATGAAATTCGAGAGAGTTGAGTTGGAAGAAAAAAAAAAAATAATTAACGAGGGATGAAGAGCGTTGGTGCCGAGGTGAAAAAAAAAAAAAAAAAAAGGAGTAGAAGAGTGGAAGGGAGAAAATGAGGAGGAGAGAGGGCGTAGGTGGCGGAGCGTAATGGGCATTAATTGACTTACCGGAAGGATGCGTGTTTCTGTCGAAATGCGCGTTAAGCAGCTCCAGGGCCTGGGGTGTGAACGAGGTACGCCGCTTCCGCTTTTTGCTGGGCTCGACGCCGATGAAATCCGTCAGGTGGTTGGCACCGCTCTTATACCTGTAATCATACGCACTGCTCTCAGTTGAAAGCTGCTTACTCCCACCGGCCGTCTACCGTGTTATATACAAACTCCCTCTTTGTACGTGTATATATATATGGACCTATGCGTGTATTTACGTCTCGCGAAACAATTTCCGTCGTTAAACGCTTGATTTGCCGATCAACGAATTGCATTTTAATCAACGGGCGACGCTCAATTATCGCAACGAGTCGTCTTTAGGTGGATATCGTAATTATTGCCCAACGCGCCCCTCGCTCGCGAAAACGCGGCCGATTGGATTGTCGCGCCTTTCGTTTTTTGCAAATAACGGAAGCGCGGCACGCAATGCCCCGCGTTTAATAACAAAAATATGTAGATTTCTCGGTCAGCAGTGACGGTGTACGGGTACATGGCAGTGGAAAAGCTCGGAATATTAAGCGCGATCCAACTATGTGCCTAAACGAGAAACAGTAGAAGGAGAGGAAAAAGAGCCACGTTGACGGGAGCTCTATGACGGCGATGGAGGTGTATATATACACGCGGAGGAGGGTATCGCACATTTTATTCTCCCCGCGCGCTTACAGCGGAATTGCGGAAGGGAGGGCCGCTTAAAATTTATGTTTTTAATTTAACTCCGAGTGACCAACTGTCGAGCTCGGCGGAGGGACGGCCGATCGGGGTGGTAGGGTGGGGGGCAGGGGGAGAAAAAGGCACGGGGTGAAATTAGCATCGCACAGTGATATTTTGTCGAATCCGCGAAAACAATATGCTAATGGAAAGGAAAAGAGAGAAAAAGGATCGGGGTGTGTACGGTTGCGCGTGTGTGGGCGAGTGGGGGAGGGGAAATCAATGGGGGGACGCCGAAAGACGGGTGACGGATGCACCGGGTAATACAATTAATGCGCGGGAGATGTATGTATATATATATTGAGAGGGCTACTCATATTTTAATTAAATGCAGTCGCAGTCGCAGGTATAGTGGTATTATTGATTTATTGCCCGATGCGCGCGGAGAGTATAATATACCTGTGTGTTGCGTGATAACTTTTTTTTTTTCGTTTGTTTCGCGATGCTCGCGACCCGTGCAGGCCACACACTCGCTGGCTTTTTTTTTCAATTTTCATCTGAAAAAACACGGACGGGCTTAATGAGAAAAAATTAATACGATATTTGCAACGCGGCTGCGTCATTATAACGATCACAATAATTATCATACATCGATATTTCGAAAAAAAATAATCTCCCCTCGGCGACTCTTTGAAATTATCATCCGCGTTTTTATTACTATTATCATCGCTGTGAGTCATCGTATTAAAATTTTACAAACATTTCTTTCTTTTTTTTCGGTATAATCTTGTTATTCGGCAAAAAATGGGGTTTCGGGCGAAGAAAGCAAATAAGAGTGATAAAAATTGAGCCGAGGCTTAAATTTCGGTGTCGCATGAAATGCGCGCATCAAATCCTGTTGATTTGCGAGGAGATCGAGTTCGAAGCGCCCCGAGTAACAAATGCACTCCTCCGACGGTACAAAGCTACACCGAAAGAGAGAGAAAGGGAGGGGGGGGGGCTAAGATAAGCGCGAGCAAACGCCAACGAATGAGGTACACGCGCGCGCACACAGAGAGCCCCCCGCGTCACGGCAAAGAGCCGAGCGGAGCGAAGAAGGAGCCGCGTGCGGAGGCGAGAAGAAGAAGAAGAAGGCGGAGTAGGTGGAAAAAGGAGTAGGACGACGGAGGGAAGGGAGGAAGAGGAGGCACATCAGAAACCTGATTTTAATTAGTCCGCAGTTTAATTACTCAGCAGATAAATCGTGCACGTGCACCGCATAAACCAGCCGCTTTCATTTTTCCGCAGCCCGCGCGCGTGAGTCTGTCGTCGGCGTCGTATATAAGTGTTCTCTCTCTCTCTTGGCTGTGTCGGTGGTGGTACAAAGTGCAGCTTATACACCACTGGACCGTGAGCTGAGATTGTGTGCACCAGTCGGGGCGACAAATATTATGTATGGGGCGCTGCTGGCTGCTTCGAAGAATGCTGGATCGGCGATTGTCGCTCGATGCTCTTCTTTTGGCTCCGGTTCGCGCCTTCGGCTCGAGTTGCCTTCCTACCTTTTCTTTTCATTTAATTTGTTAAATTTTATTTTTATTGGAAACGACTATCCGCAAAGCAGGTAAAACGTTGCTCCTGCATTAATGTGTATTTAATTTTATTAATTATTTATTGTATTTAATTATACGTAGCCGAGCTAGTAAGAGCTATAAGATCCTTGAAAAAAATTAAGTCAATTCAATTCCCTTTCGTCGCTCTTTTACCCCAATTTTTTTTTTCCTACGTGAAAATAATATTCAACGATGCGGTAAACAGTTTTTTAAACGAATAACACCGATCGATCGACGACTGAAATGTACACGTCGCAGGAATCAAGACCAGCGAGCCCTGCAGGAAAATCGGAGCACAATAGGAGCGGCCGAGCCGTTGTTATTTATGTCCGGAGCGATGGGCCCAATCGTGCCCTCCGGGAGCTCGTCTTCTTCGGATCAACGGGGGAGGCCCTGCCGGAAAGCACGAGTCGGCGCCGTGATTTAACGGAACGGGCCCTCGGGCCGGGCGTGACCGAGAAGAGCGTGCGCCCGGATTCCTATCCATCGGCTATTTTTGCCCCATCGACAGTTGCGCCATAGGTATCTTTTTTTTTTTTTTTTTTTTTTTTTTTATACCCCAAATCTACCGCACGTGTAAATTGACTCGCGCTCTTGTGCAAAGTATCGCGGGGTTATTTAACCAGATGCCATAATTTGTCGTTCAATTATATAGAGGACTCGAGTTTTCGTTTTTCGTATCCCCCATTGATATTTATCTCGCGCAAACTAGTGGCATACCATTTTGTTATTTAGCGTATACAGGTAAGGCGTACAAGCCAACCAATACCCGTTTCGTCGTGTATTCATTTATAAACGTAAAAGTCACGTGTTTCAATTTACCCTCGTACACAAGGATCATTACAGACAACACGGTAGACACGTAAGTGATTCCAGTAACAATCATGATGATAATAATAATAATAATAATATACGCACTCGTCTAATCATTGGGATGTCGATAAATTTAAAAGCGATTAAAATTCTTAATGAGTACGCGAGCTCTAGGAAATTAATTCGGCTCAAAAAGAAGGAAAAAAGGCGATCGCGGAGCCAAAATAAAAAAAAAAAACACAGAGTGTAACTGTGCAGCAGTCACGTTAATTAAAATCTATAAATAAGTATGCGGCCATGCAAGCGCGCGAGTACATGTTTTATGAAGTGGTCGACTGTACAACGCAACGCTGATGCATACATGTAAGATGAGGAAAGAAGTGCGCTGCTGCACGAGAGTCCCTAATTGAGTTTGTAAACTTACTGAAATCAAATAAGCATATTTCATATTGCCTGAGCAGCAGCATCGCATTACGAGGTACTTGTAAATAATAAGAGAGAGAAGCATCGCGGATCCTCGAATTTATCGAGTGCTCTTCTGTCCCCCTCCCCAATCTCATCTCAATAAGTCTCGCGTGTGTTGTATCGTCCATATATACTTACTTGTGTGTTACGTACACCATGGGCCTACGTGCAATCAACATCCCGGGCATTTACGATGGTCGCGACGCCGCGATAAATCGAGCGAATTCAACTAGCGAATAAGGTTCAAGGGGGTGAGTACCGGTACCACCAGCGACAGGGATTTTTTTTTTTTTCGGTCAAGTTGCAAGTGTGATGGGTGTGGAAGGTGTACTTGTCGAATGTACGGGCCCAACTCACCTATCCTCGGCTTTCTCCATCCACGTTTCGAGCACCGGCTTGATTTTCACGGCGCTTTTCGGCGTTATGTCGAGCTTTTCGAACCTAAATGGAAAAAAAAAAAAAAAAGAAAAAAATTACCTCTTTTACCAGAAGCGATGATGATTATCGGTAAAATAATTCGTCAGGTTGGAAACATGCGTGGAAAAATACAAGTAATTACAGTTTTTCCAAGTTTATGACGAGCGAGCTTTTATTTATTTTTTTTTTTTTTGTAGCTCTTTGTATGTAATTATAATATGCTCGAAAATGAAGAAAAACATAATGTATAATAACGTACAAAAGCAATCAATGAGTCGAAACACATAATATATAAATATATAAAATTGTGTGTAACTTTTTTTTTTGTCTAAAGGAGCACTAAAAAGCATGCATTATTCGATAACAGGACATTGACAATGCGTGCATGCGCGTTGACTTGGTGATGCTGTGAGCTTATGATGTGCCAACGTGTTTTATCTGGGCAAGAAATGAGTTATCTCGTTATCGTTTCGTGGAAACGCATAGTTTCGAGAGTTAAAATTTTTACTGGAGAGAGAGAAAAAAAAAAAAAGATAACGAAATGATGGTTATGATGATGATTAAGAGATGAAAAAAAAAAAAAAAAAAAGATAACTGTGATGGTGGTGATTGTTAGGAAGCTCATGACAGATGGGTTAAATAATGAGTAGAAAGACAAATCGGAGCCTCTAGCGCGTTGGCAACATCATGCCCAAGCTTGCCAATGCCCTGGCTCGGAGAAAGTTAATAATTACAAAAGTGCTCCTTTTGCAATTCTATTGAGAATTTATCGATATCGTTTTTTTTTTGCCCCGGTTTTGTTTCGTGATTTAGTTATTTATTTTTATTTTTTTGTTTTCAACTTTTGCTTTTCGATCATACGTCACTTTTTTTCTGTCATTTAATGAAATTGGAAAGTGGCAAGACAGTCACTGCAGCCATACCCAACGGCTAATTTATTGGCACGAAAATCACACTCCAATGGAAAAACTCGTCCGAGTAAATTTAAAAGCTCGTGCTGCGATATTTACAATTGATATAAAATCATCGTATTGGGCATGACTGCAGATTCATAAAAACTTGGGAAAATTAAGATATTATGTATAAGGAGTATAACAACGTACATAGTTTGATTCTGCCGCTGAGCGTACATCTGCAAAGCCAGGGCACTGGGAAATCACCAATGAATTAGTTAGTCGAAACGTAATAAGCTAACATTTGGTTGACAAAATCACCAGTTTTAGTCCCACAATGATTCACATGTGTAATAATTGGACGAAAAAACGTAAATAAAAAAAAAAAGGTCATACATGGTCCACACCAACCCGACACTCACACCCATAATACGCACGTACTTAAGTGTAAGAACTGTATTGTTATGTTGTATACAGTAACTAAAACTGGTTACACATATTAAGAATATTATCGGTAAGTAAAAACCTGTCGTTACTATTCAGTTGGCATCTATATATATATTTGCTTGTACATACACAACACGATGCAATAAATTATTCTCTCTTTGCGTCAATCGTCAACTACGAACCCAAAATAAAATAAAAATTATGCGTTGGAATAAATTTTTCTTTTACACCACGACATTTCGATACACTTATGTGGCCTGATGGCTTAAGATCTATTCCCTCAAAAACGTACAGACACATAAACATCCGACGAATAAAAACAACTAAAAAAAACTAATCATTTCCGTGGTCGCAACAGTCTCACCCACACCTGCCGCTCCTCAGGTGCATGTACAACTTTGACCGTGTAATAAAACAACAATAACATCGCACGAGTGAACAAATGAATCAGTCATAAGGTGTCTCACCTGCAAATGGCACTTTGACTGTACGCCGGGCCCTCGGTGACGCTAAGCGCCTGGCCGACCTGCGTCTGCGTGAGCCCGAGCGACAGCCGGCGCAGCTTGAAAGCTTTGGCAAACTCCTTTATCTCTTCCAGGTTGATGCCGTCGACGACGTTGTTCGTCGCCTCGTTGATCGTCGGCTGGTCTGTCATTCGCGGAACAAAACAAATGGTTTTCGTTAAAATTTCGAGACGCGCATTTTTAACGGAGGTATACAGAGGTGTATATATACTAACTCGAGGAATCGTTGAGAAGATCGTCGTCCTCTTCCTTGACGCTGTGGACGCTGCTCGGGGACGCTTTGACGTTCGCGATGCCGGAGCCGTGGGTCGTAGTGATGGTGATCTCGCCGTTACTGGCCGCCAGCCGATTGAGAGCCGAAGCCGCGGAGCCGTTCAACGGCGACGACTGCTCCAGCCGCTCCCTGTAGTGCTTCTCCGACTGTTGCTGCTGTTCAGCCGCACAGGGACAAAACCATTTCCAACTTTATCTCGTTGCGCTTTTCACTTTACCTTCGCCCCCTAAGCTCCGAATTTAGCATCGGCCCTTAATTAAAAGCGACTCGGGATATACCAGTCGGCGATCTCTTGTTTCAACTCGAACCGATACGGCCCCTTCCCCCCCTTCAATATTTTATCGTGGATGTCCACAATGTCGCGTAAGCGGTTCCAAAACCACTAGATTCTCAATTTCATCGATTATTCGCATTAATATTTGACGCGATCCCGATACCGCGTATCTGATTTCGTCGGCTCGGATCGACGGAGGGGCGGCGTTTTTAGAGCCCGATCGGCGCCCGTCCGTATAGAATCGTTAACAATTCAATAAAGCCCCGCGGTGCCGTTATCGTGCCCTTCTGCTATATTAAGAAAGCTGCTTTCGAGCCGCTCTCGTAACAATAATAGTCCAACGATGGAAAAGGGGAGAGAGGGAGAAGGAAAAAAAAAACAAAAAAAAAAAAAAACAGGTGGTAGGGGTAATAATGAGACCGAGGGTGTATACAAGAGGGGGCGTCGCGAGCCGGAGGGCAATTCACCGCTCTAATTAGCGACAGAAGTGCCATTCGCCGGACCCGGGGATACTTTCTTAACGAGATTGTAGACCCTTTTTTTTTTTCATCTCCGCGCCTACTTCGTTATACTTCAACTCTTTTTTTTTTTTTTTTTTTTTTTTAGCTCAAATACGAGTTGGTTCGGATCACGAGCAAATAATAGGTAACTCACCGCGTAGTGGTTGATGTGCGAGGCGTGCCGATGGCTGACGACGTGCTGTTGGGGCGAGGACGCGAGAAGGGGCTGCTGTTGCTGTTGGTGCTGCTGCTGTTGTTGCTGTTGTTGCTGTTGTTGTTGTTGTTGTTGTTGTTGTTGTTGCGAGGCGACCGCCTGTTGTTGGGCGGCGACCGCCTGGGCCTGCACCGCCTGAGCGGCCTGGAGCAGTTGTTGGGGCTGCATGGCGTTGAGGAGCTGTTGGCTCGCGGAACTGTTGCCGAGGAGGTGCGACAGCGCCGCTGGACTGATGCCCAAACCAGCCCCCAAGCTCGGACTCGTCGGCACTGCGAGCACACAACGAAACCATGAGTTGAATGGCAAAACATTTGGTGGGACTGTGGTAAGGGAAGAGCGATTCGTTTTACCGTTGTTCGTGGGGTTGCTGATCAGGCCCTGGGGCTGGGCGATGGACTGCAGATTCGCGAGCGTCGTCGAGACGACCTGGCCGTTGCTCAGCGCCAGGTTGACTATTTGGTTGTTGTTGCTCACGTGACTCACGGGAATGGTCAGTATTGTTTGCGTGGCTATACCTGAAACAGTTGCCGATCTACATTGGGCGTGGGATCATTTGAAGGACACTTTAAGAGAAAAGAGTGGGCGATACCGGTATAGCCTGCCCCGAACGACTATCTACATTGTACAGTCGCGTGCGATATCGAGATAACACGAGTGGTCGAGGATAGGATACATAGAAACGTCGTATTATGTAAGACCCGCCCGATCCCCTTATTAGAATTCCCAGGGCGGACTTGCAGGAGTAAATATACCCCTCACGAGCATCATGGGCATATACATGCAACACCTATATGTGTACATATATATATATATATATATAACACAAATACGGATGAGATGGATGTAGGTGTATATTATATGAGGTATAGTGATGCGGCAGTGTATAAAGTTATCCCCGAGTCTCGCGGAGGGATTATTAGACATCCCATGGAGCAGGTAACCTCTGCCTCTGTTCTCGTTCTCGCCCCCCTTCCCTTGGCGTAGTTGGCAAACTATTATCACCGTCTTAATACCGAGTGCCTGCCTGCCTGGACTTTCTCTTCCTCGCTCTGCTCTTGGCTGCAGCGCGTGGGGGTATAGGAGGCAGGGAGAGCAGGAGGGTATACATACACGAGGCACTGCACTCGCCACCGCGGATAGTGAGCAAAAGAGGGGGCGGAAGGGTATAAGGACGTCTAATCATATTTAGAATAGTTTCGAGATTATCCCGGGCCCCTAATCTGATTATCCCGTACACGCTCTCTTAATATGATTACTGATCATGAGTAGCTGCTCTGCGCGCGTATGTATACGTGCGTGTAAACAGGTACACCAAGTTCCGCTCCCTCGTAGCGGTCTGGCCTGTGTCTGCCCTACACTGGGGGGGGGGGGGTGATGATACCCCACTATAGCGACTACTGTAGTTAATTTTCTACGTACGTATCCGCGTACACCAGCAGCAGTGACACAGCCGTAAAAGTTTCGCGCGCTGTACGTGTGCACATACACACCCAGATACGGAATCCAACCCCCCCGAGGGTGTGTAACGAGCGTAGTACACACACATAACCGCAGAAGAAGAGCGCCGTAGGAAGATCGATGACGGAGCACGACCACTTGTTGTGCGAAAACTTTGCGCGGTCTTTTCTCCATTCTATACGTATAGTATATAGTTTACAGTACGTATATACGGGGGGGTATGTCGAGTTAGCCCCGCAGCTGGACGTCTTAACGAGGAGAGAGCCGCGGGTCACAGAGAACCAACTACGCCGATGGCTGGTATGGTATGTACACGGCTTCTAATACGCGGACTCGAAAATTGCGTACGAATCGACGGGGACAAAGTTGCGCGCAATCGATACAAACCGGGGGGGGGGGTACACGCGGCTCGAGCGATCTTCGGATGAAAGAGGGGGAGAAGTGGACAAGCGCCGAGTGGCAATATACCCAAGGTTCGCTGGTCGCCTTCAAAGGAAGAAGCCGAGCATCGGCGGCGAACAAGGACAGTGAAATACATTATATATATATATATGGTGGAGGAACGCTTAGGTACAGCTAGCCGGCTTCGCAAGAAATGAACGGGGCTGGCGTGTACATAGGGAACGGTGAGGGTGTTACCGAGGGCCGGCGGGCTCGGCAGACGATAATTATACATTGAAATTAGTTGCAGAGTTTGCCCTCTGCGCTGCTCGAGCTGGATCTATATATACCGCCCTGGCAAGTAAGTATACGAACGACGACGGAGGTAAAGGCAATGGGGGGAGGGAGGGATAGCCGTTATTAGTATAACGGCGCAAACTCAATTGTGCAGCAGGCGGTATTATGCAGTCGGCGAATAGGTGTTACATGTGACGTGATTGTGGAGCTCCTTGCCGCGATAACGAAACTTCAAGGCTGGATGTACATACATAGCGATAAATCTTTTGACTCCGATGGTATATAGGTACAGAGGGGGCGGGGGGATTGAAATGTAAGTCAGGGTGTGGATGTAAAGATTACCTTGCGACGTGGGTATAAAGAGTTGGGCACCCTGGATACCCTGGACGAGCTGGCCTGAGGCCATGACGAACTGTGGCATGGCGATGGGCTGGGGCTGGGCCAGGAGCTGGCTTAGTGTCACCATCGGTGCCGTCGTGCACGATGGTGTCGTCGAGACCGAGCCAGCTGCGAACAAATACATTTTATATACGGTTCCGTCAAACGTGGGCATCGACATCCCTTTTTCATTATATTTGTCATTGTTGGCTTGTTAACAGTGTACGTGATGAAATACGTACCCGGTGGAGTGACGGTGAGGTTTAGGGGTGCGTTGATGAGCTGATTGCTGGTGAGTTCGGAAGACATGCCCTGGAGTCCAGCCGCGAAGGACGCGACCTGCGGCAGGTTCTGCAGATTCGCGAGGTTTTGGAGATTCTGAAGCGTCACCATTCCCGCCACTGCAACAAGTGATTATTCCAAATTGTTGAATCAAGCGCGTGTCTCATTTTTAGATGTATTTATATATATATACGTACTGGTGCCGTTTAGCTGAGCTTGGGCGACTCGTTTCGCGTGCTCGAGGTTTTTGTTTGGCGAGGGGCTGCGCCGCTTCTTGCGCGAGTTCCTCATGCTCTCGAGCATCATCTGGTGCTCGTGGAGCGTGGTCGGGGCTGCCTCCGGGCTCCCGGTGCTGCTCCTGTCGCTGTCCTGCAACATCAAATTCGACACAATTCCGGAGTTTTAATCCAACGATTCATCCGTGTTATCTACATATACATTATTCTATTGTTTAGTATTTATTATTAACCCCCCGCAACTAACGCTGCTACAGCGTATGTGAACCAGTGGCTCGACTATTGCTAAGGGTTAATTAAAACTGGAAAATTAATGTGACTGATGTTGGGTGATTCTTGGTATTAATCGAGTAAAATTTGCGGTTTTATGGTATTCTGTAAATTATCTCGATGGAAGTACAAGATCTGATCTCAAGTCTAAAATTAGTCCATTAAGTTAACCCCTCTTGGTTCCGCTTCAGGAAGCAGCCCCCCTTTTTCTCCCAGCTACAGAGCCCTCGAATTTTTTTATTGGTTCATCGAAATTCATGAGGAATCAGCAGAGAAAAATCCGTTCCGGTCACTAAATTAGGATTTTATTTTATATATTATTTTATTTTACTAAGCTATCCCTTGATTGCTGAAAAAACAACTGCCAATATTTTAGCCCCCCCCCCAAAAAAAAAAAGTACGTAAGGGAGAAAGTCTCAGCTGCGTTGTTTCCGATCGGCAATGCTCGATTTAATTATCAACAATTTGTTCGCTGCATCCAGCGTTAAATATACTTGTATTATTTTTGTAATCATAAAAAAAAAGAAAAAAAATTGCTTGAAAAGAGAGCTTGAAAGGGCGAATAATGAATTTTCCAACAAAAAGAGTGATACATTATACCCTCCGGTGTAAAATACCCCATTGCACGCGGAATAAAAATTTCGACCTGCCCATCATTTTATCGGCATCACCGTTGTGGAAAAAAAGGTGATGGAACAAAAAAAAAAAAGAAATTCGATTCTGCAAACTAATTAGCGAGCTTCCACCGATACACCCAAATGCAACGCGAACGGAACCACCATGTATATGTATATGGATAAAATGAAGGGCCAACCGCGCCGGACCTCCCACGTACGTATATTACACATATATACCGACTTCTCGCGCATCAGGATCGACAGTGCGCTTGACGCCGTACGATAAATTGATTAATATTCATTTAGGTACCAACAGCGGCATATCGCGATGACGCCCGCGAAGAGCAGTATCATCGCGGAATCGCAATCGTGTGTACCTATACATGTACATATACGTATTATATATATGTATATACACGCGGAGCACGCGGGATTTCGGGGGACGAAGGGGGTGGGGTTTCGGCGTCGCGTATTTATCACTGCGGCGAATCGAGTCGCTAATTAGGTGAATTGGCTCATTTATCATCGTCCGGTCGTTAATGGCTATGCGAGAGCACCCGAGCTCCACCACCGCCGCCGCGGCTCAAGTACGAAAAGACGCCCTTATCGTGGCCTTGCAATCTCACCGCCCGACCGTAGGAGGGGACTGCCAGATAATTTCTCTCTCTCTCTCTCGCTCATTTGCACGATAGTCGAGGAATAATTAGCGGACGGTGCCGGGAGGCTACGGCATCACGTATACACGAGGGCGCGCGTGCGTGCATGCATCCCTCCCTGTATAAATATATGTATACGTACATTGTGTGTGCAAGGGAGTCCGCGTGGGCCATAAACACGAGTAATACACGTAATACGAGCAAGGCCTTCCAAGGCAATCTAAATTATAATAAATCGATAGCTCATGTATATATACATATATACGTATACGCGTCTGTTGTATGTAGATGGGTTTACATACCTACAGCCGAGAAAAGGGGTTATCTAAAAATATAACCGACTCGGCGATTAAGATATAAAGCTATCGAGTTGTTACGTACCGTATACCAATCCTCCTCATTCCCCCCTCGGCCTCGATTATGATATAAGGTATATAGGTGTCTTTACTCTACTGTTTTCTTACGTTGGGCGCGTTAAACGGAAACCGTTTTGTTTCGATACCTTTTCATTCCGGGGGCAGATTAAACCTCGTTGTATTTATACAAGCGCGAATTGAACTTTTTTTTCTTCTTTTTTGTTTTTTAATCGATGCGGCAACAGTATGCCGAGAAGGTATTTAAAATAAATTTCCTTTACTTTTCCCTACCCAAGAAGAAGAAGAAGAAGAAGAAGGTGCAATGGCTTTGCATTGGAGGAGCATGGATGTGGATAAATGTGAGCGGGAGAATAGTTTTTTGCGCGAGTGTTTCAGCCCCGCTGAGGCGTTGATTTTAATAAACTTGGGTCGCAACAATGCATCGAGTACCTATACGTATATTATAATTCAGTAGTGGAAAATAAGGTGAGACAGTGCCGGTATATGGTGTACGAGGGTAAAGGTGCTGTTGGCATCGGCGTAGCGACAGAGTGCGGCCGCTTTGCATAATGGCATGGAAATATGCCGGGACATGTAGCGCCGCAGCCGGATACAGATTAAGAGTTTTAGAGCCTCCGGTAACCGGGCGATTCCATCCAAAGAGTACCTATATTATACCAAGGCCCCGTCGTTTAGGCAACACTGGCGTTTTCTTGCTGTTTACACGAGTGGTGTACATATATAATATGTGCAAGTGATGTGTGTACCTGCATCCTTCTTCGCGGCCTCTGTATTGATTTATCCTTGTGACATCCTTGGTTTATTTTTTTTTTTTTTTTTGCTCATTTGCTAAAGATCGGCCTAATTAGTCAGAGACAAAAAGTAAAGAAAAAAAACTTTATCTCCAAAGCGTCGAAAACAGAACAAAAAAAAATTCATCCAATTCATTTAAAACGCACAGTTCATCACCAGAGTTTGAAAACAATTGTTTTTTTAACTGCAAAATCGATCGTGATTGAGGAAAAAAAAAAATACAGTATCAATCACGAATTGCTGAAAAAAAATACGCCATTCACCCGAGCTAGCACTTGTATTTGCGCGTGGGTTTTATTATTATACTAAATAAACGTATCAAGTATACCGATTGGATTTCACATGGTTGGTCGTATGTGTATACCTATAAAATATAAATGAAATCGGGGCCCAGTATATACTGCACTAGATCCCGGGAATAAAAAGCTCTATCGGAAGTTACGAGTGTACACGCGACACGCGCCTAATAAAAAGTGGCAGAAGATCGGGCCATCTGTATCCGCTAATGAATGGCAGTCCAACGGCGCGCCCTGCATTCTGGCTCCTCCCCAACGTCAGTTCAGCGGCACTGCGCATATCATTTGACATCGACGGTGCCATTCTAAATATTGCAACGAACTATCGAACGCTGTCTGTAGGGAATTTATGGCGTGTCATCGAGGACCATTTACGTCTCAATTTTCGCGTAGGCATACGTAGGAGAGGAAAAAAATGGTTTTCCAAAACGAGGGGCCTCGTAAAACCGGAGGCTAGCTCTCCGCGAAAGGTATACGATACACAGGCGCAGCTTAAACAACGAAATATTCTTACGGGAATGGGCGGCAGGTTAAAGCCAGGGTATAAATCCGGGGGGGCAGGAAAAAAAAAAAAAAAAAAAAAAAAGACAACAAAAATAGCAAAGTCAATCCGGGGGCGCACGGCCACTCGTTAATAACGAAAAAAAATCGGATCGCCGGGCTGTGGGGTGAGGGACTTTGGCGGGTAACGATAAAAAATCACGGCCCGCTATTCGTAATACCGGAAACGCGGGTGCGCGAAAAAATGCGGGGCTAAGTGCGCGCACTCGTACCCGCTCGAGAGTGGGGGTGGGGTCGGAGAAAGAGGGCGCGTATTGTCGTCAGGTGACCATAGAGGGAGGCCACGACAAAAAATACTGAAAATGCAACAATAAACATTACTTATCGACTCGGATTTTTTAACGGTATCCCCCCCGTGTGGGGGGGTGAGCCGGAGTTTCGGGGAGAAAAAGCATCCGCTCGGCAAAAACGCAACTTTTTTGCAATAAAGTCATTTACGCGACCGTTCGGAGTTATGGGTAATTCGTGTACAGCGTTTTTTTCACCCCCTCCCCCCTGCCGTACACCCTAGAGCCCTAGAGCCATTGATTAGTATTAATGACTTAGGTGCACTCATTTCGTCCGAATAAAAGTAATTGGATTTGGCTTGGCCTTTCCGACGACGCCGAAATACGTATGTATACAACAGTAGTTGTGTGTGTAGGTGGGGTAGAGAGGGGAAGGCAAAGAGAGGGGGTGGCACTGGCAGCGTAAAAATACATTAATATCTGTTTGCGCTAATAAACGATAGCGAGGAGGCCGTTACGTATAGGGCTTCGTACGTCCGTTCGTTCGTTCGCTCGTGGGGGTGAGCAGGGGCTAGTCTTTGGACTAATGGCCATTTTTTCCCCGAATCATTAATGGGCAAGTAGAGAGAGGGGGATGGGGGGTAAAGGGTGGAGGCGGACTACTGGCGTCGAGGCCGACGGACGGTACCACATATATACACCAGCGCCGCTGCACACGCATTTTTTCCCGATAATCCTCGGCGCAGACTGCAGATCCGTTTCTCATCCATCAAAGGCATTGATACGTGGCCGCGTTTCCGCGCGTGTTTATCATGCAGTTATTGATTATGGATTTACGCCAGCTGTGTATATAACTACACGGGGGGGTAGGTATACGCAGACACGCCGCAGACGCTCGTATGGGCTTGGATAATATTATATACAACACGCTCACTTACATTATTGTGAAATGGGTGCTACCGTGTGTATATAGCCTACATAGAAGAAGCGCAGTAGTACGTATATACATCGGAGGGGCTGCCTTACGAATTCTTGCATTATTTAATAAGCAGCACACGCACGAGGTCATTATACGTACCCACGCGCTCGTTCCCTCCCATACGCTCGTCTCTGATACATTATGTACGTTGTTATTACTATTGCGCATGTGTATACACGCGCACGTACAGTGGCGCTACGTTGCTCTAATGACGTTGTCGCGGCATCAAGCGCATGGTTTTTTAATAACTCGGAAAGTAGAATGCCTTTCAAGTGCCTTTAGTGCTCTATTTGCTCGGCAACTTGTTGTTTGCAACCGCAAAACATCAAACAAACCCCGTTTCGTTGGACACTTGGGTAAATTGGGGGGGGGGTGGAGGGGATGAAAAAACAAACCAAACAGTTTCTACAAAAATCATGAGAGCAAAAAGCGAGTAATAATCACCCACCCTTTCTATATATATTTAAGTAATTTGTTTTTTTTTTCTCCTCTATAGCTTCCCTCGTTCTCCCGGAATAAAAATAAACTCTTTCCCTCGACTGCACGACAAGAGCCCTCCCCCCCCGGTCTGTAATAGAGTATACAATATTCCCCCCCCCCGAGGGCAAATAATACTTATCGATTATCATAATACTAAAAGCTACGGCGAGCATTCGATCTCGCAACGGGCAACGATGAGGAGGTCCCGATAAATCCCAACCCTCGAAAGCCCCGTAGTATTATATGCTCTTGCTCTCCAGTGGGAGTAGTATAGTCGTCGTCGTTGCAGCATCTACTTTTACGAGAGAGAGCGAGCACCGACCCCCGATTATTCCGCCGTGCTCCCCTCGCTCTCATTTTCCCACTCCACCTTATTTATATGCAAATGAGCTTCATTTCGCGATATTAATGTTTCGCGCGAGCTATCTCTGGCCCTGTCTTTGTCTGCCGGTCGGCCCCTCCGTGCTGCTACTATAATAACGTGTGCTCTCTCTCCCCCGCTCCCGTGGCGCGTGCGAAAGGGGTGTGCTGGCGGCTCATATGCTCGGGACCGTTTCATTTGCACTGAGATCCGCCGCCGGCGTCGCCCTTTCCTACCACCCCCCCAAAGCTTGTTCGGGTTGCGCGCGAAAGTATCGAAAATTGTGTGGTGGTTCGAACGATCGGTCTGCCTATAGGCACACGAGCCGTGAGTCATTTCGGTGCCGAGAACACGCAAAACTCGGTGGATTTCGCGACTACCCTGTATCACATACTTGTTTGAATCTCTAAAAAATCTCAAAACCAAAGGGAATCACGGAGTAGGGAAACAAAGGTTTGCGTGGGAGTAAAAAATCTCGCATGTCCGGTGGGGTAGGTTTGGCCGACACATCCTGAGGTATACCCCCCTTTACGTTTCTGGGAAAAAAAAATGGATCAACGAGGGTGTCGGTGAAAATAGTTGTTGTAAGCTTTTCATTGTCAATCTACTTTGGATTAAGTAACAATTCAGTTGACAAATAAAAAAAATAAAAACAATTGTAAACTTTGACTTTCATAATTTATAGAAAAACATCTTTGACTTTTCATGCGATTTTTTCTGGACACTGGAATAAAAAACCTATTAAAAGGTGTGAGATTTGCGAAAATTTTTGTTTCCAGTTGTAGTTTTCAGGGATTCATGGGTATACACGATCTCGTGTCGATTCAATGGCAATAAGCATTACCGTGCCATTCCTTCATCTCTTGTTTTAATTTTTTTTTTTTTATAAAAGCACGTGATTAATGCCTTCGACATATATTTATTGGGATTCAAATGATCTCACAAAGAAATGAGATTTTTCGTTAGACAACCTCTAACTATAGTTTAGTCCTGTTGATTCTACTTTCCCGCAACTTGTACGAGCAGTACATGCAAAAAAAAAAAAGAAAAAAAAAAAAAAAAAAAAAAAAAAAAAAAAAAAAAAAAAAAA